GAAGAAGAGGGAGAAGAGGAAGAGGATGGAGAGGAAGAAGAGGAGGGAGAGGAGGGAGAGGATAATGAGGAGGAAGAGGGGGAGAGGAGGAAGAAGAGGGAGAAGAGGAAGAGGATGGAGAGGAGGGGAAAAAGGGGCGATGGGGAAAGCAGAGAAACGGGGGAAGGGATGGATGGCGGGAGGGAGGGAGGCAGAGAGAGAGAGAGAGCAAAAAAGATGCAGAGAGAAAGAGATGCGGAGAGAAAGAGAGAGAGAGAGAGAGCGTGCAAAAAAGATAGCGAGCGAGAGAGAGAGATAGTGAGCGAGAGAAAGCAAGAGCGAGAAAGAGAGCGATAGAATGAAAATAGCACGTGAGGTTAAAAATGTGTGAAGCGTTGATAGACAAGATTCCACTGCGATAACTAAAAAGGAAGCCGTGACGTGACGGTAACGTCGACAAGGTCACACAAGGTCAACCAGCATGCTGCGCCCTCTAGCTTACCACTACTGCGTAGAGAAGAACCGTCCCCAGATTCTCTGCGAACGCTCGGTCGTGCAGCGAAAATGCTGACTCCAGCATAATCCTGTATAAATATATAATAATATAACAATTTAACAATATAACAATAACAATAACAATGTAACAATATAACATGTAACAATAACAATAACATGTAACAATATATAACATTATACAACATATAACAACATATAACAATATAATAACAATAACATGTAACAATATAACAATGTAACATGACACACAGAGCCATAATGATATCTCCGCTCTATACTGCTGTCCCTCATTCACACACGCGTTCGTTTTACAGTCCCCTCGCTAGCCTGTTTTCGCGGTCTTTCTCTCGGTTCTATTCTGTTCGTCCTCATTAACTATATTACGTGCGAGTGACGCAGCGTTTGCGCATGCGCCGACGCGAGGTCTCGGTGAATGTGTGCAGCAAACAAGGACGTAAGACTGCCGTAATTTGTCATCGAAACGACATCAGTGACAACGTTGACAATCGTCGCACAGTCGCGAATACAGACAGGGTCGACAAAAATCGAATGTCGCGGTGATAAATGAACGACCCTTAGTCTATTCTTGTCTTTTTTATAGTACAGTAATTGTGTCTCGCCTTTCAAATGGGAAAATAAGACGGTCTTGTGTCGCTGAAATCATGTGAGTTGGCTTGTAAGGGCCCGTGAAATATATCCATCTGCCTGTTATTTCGATTCACTTATAGTTCTATAGCCTTTATACACACGCGTGCACAAACACACACACACGCACGCACACCACCACACACACACACACACACACACCACACAACACACACACACTCACACACAAAACAGATACCACACACACACACACACACACGCACACACCACACACGCGCACACACACAACACACACCACACACACACACACACACATCCACACACAAATATATACTGTAATTTGATGTATATCCTTTATAACATTCTATAGCTGATATCTGATATAATACGCCTGCTGACTGTATTATAGCAGTCTTGGTTTAGGACTCGCGGGAACGCACCACGGACTGAATATCAGTACAGTTTAGTAAACTAGACATGAGAGGCATCACGGAGAGTCTTTCATTACCTCCGCGACGGCATGTAAATGTATGTGCTCGCTGCGTGTCGGCTGCCTGACTGCACTCGCCTAGCCTGCTGACTCGCCCGCTCACTGTTGCTGCTGGGCTTGCTCGCGCTCGCTGACTCAACGCACGCTCGATTCGCGCCGCCGCGCTCACTGACTCGACGCGCTCATCGATCGCGCCGCGCGACTGGCCACACACACACGAACACACCACCACGAGAGCGATTGCGTAGACCTCGCCGTTGTGCGCGGACGGTAAAAGCAGGCTACGAGTAACAAGTACAGGCTGCAAGTAAGCCACGTGCCGCTACTTACGGTGGTATGACAAGAGAAAGAAAGTGTCCGCTCTAGCGGTGGGGAAAACCGTAGTCACGTCTGCAAAGCTGCAAGATATCGTTATGAAATTATATAACACGACATGGCATGACTACAGTATTATAATATATGATTTATGTATTCTATGATATGATCAATGATGTGCATGTGATCCGTACCAACTACGATTACGTATATGATATGATATGGTTACGATGCTGTGACGAAATGATAGTATACAGCATATTTTATTATCTTATATTAATATTCCTATTATTATTTATTATATTATAATAATATATTACATGATGTTTTTTTAATTCATACACCAGCACACACACACACACACACACACAACACCACACACACATGTATATTATGATATTATTATTTTATATATATATATATTAATATATATATATCAATGTGACAATAACATGGTTCTTGCAAAAAACAACGCTGTGTTTTGTGTGCGCTGATTATGCTAAGATTCTACTGCTTTCAAAGAAATAAAATCCTATAATTATTCTAAAAAAGTTGTACGTTTACGCTGCAATTATGCTATCATTGTGGTATGATTATACTAGGTTTATCTGAAGACTCTACTGATGTTATGCTAAACGTATGCTGTACCTATGCTATGATTATGCCACACAAAGCGCGCATACAATGTAACATATCACCGCACGCACATTTTCTTGCGATTTGCTTCTGCGAAAGTAAAAAAAGCTGCTAATATCAGGTGGCATGCACACATGGCGGTTCGCTTCTAACCCAGAGTGAGTGCGTTTACATTCTGACGTCCATGTATTCCGTACTCGGATCTCTGGACTATTTCAAACGTCTATGCCCGTGTCTACACGCACGCTACGACACACGCACAATACGCGCGCGTTCTCGCGAGAAATTGCCGATGAAATGCCATGTGAAACCCTCGCGCCTACTCTAGCATCTCTAGGAAATCAGTTCCCCGGATGCTAATGAGGACGGTGTATGCGCGAGCGCGTGCGTGCGTGTGTGTGTGTGTGCAGCTACACGTGTGTGCGTGCGTACGTGTGTGCGTACATCGTGCGTGTGTGCGTGCGTGCGTGCGTGCATACATCGTGCGTGCGTGCGTGGGTATATCGTGCGTGCGCGCGTGCGTGCGTGCGTACATCGCGCATGCGTGCGTGCATACATCGTGGGTGCGTACATCGTACATCGTGCGTGCGTGCGCGCGTGCGTGCGTGCGTGCGTGCATACATCGTGCGTGCGTGCGCGCGTGCGTGCGTGCATACATCGTGCGTGCGTGCGTGCGTGCGCGCGTGCGTGTGTGGAGGATTACACGTATGTTCTATAACCCGATAAAGCGAGCAGCGCCATCTCCGCAATAAGATATTTCTTACGGAGAAGCACTCCGAATAAACGAGCATGCAATGCACTCTCACGCGCATCGTAAAAACGCGGGCAAGCGTGTCTCTCCCGCGCGCGTTTGATGTTTCTTAACGTTAACTCACCGCCGGGATTCGAGACGAGGAGAGAGAGAGAGAGAGAGAGAGAAAGAGCAGAGAGAGAGAGGAGAGAGAGAGAGAGGGGGGAGGGAGAGAGAGGAGAGGAGCAGAGAGAGAGAGAGAGAAGAGGGGAGAAGAGGCGGAGAGAGAGAGAGAGAGCAGAGAGAGAAAGAGAGAGAGAGAGAGAGGAGAGCAGGCAAGAGAGAGACGCGCGTGCGCGAGCGAGAGAGAGAGAGGGGGGAGCGGAGAGGAGGGCAGAGAGAGAGAGAGGGAGCAGAGAGAGAGGGGGAGGGGAGGAGAGAGAGACGAGAGAGAAGAGATGAGAGAGAGGAGAGAGCCAGAGAGAGAGAGAGAGAGGCGGAGAGAGAGGGAGAGAGAGAGGAGGAGAGAGGAGAGAGAGGAGAGCGCGCGCGACGCGCACGCACACACGCACACACGCACACCGCACCACAAGCACGCACACACGCACACGACCACACACACACATCACATCACACGGGTTGGCTCACACATAGCATACAGGCACATCCGGCCGCGCCTGCGTGGCGCCCAACAACGGCAGACACCCCGCCCCCCACCACACAGGCACGGGCACAGAGCGCACCCGATCGCAGGATGAGCACGACGACCGACGCACACACACCACGCGCACGCGCACGCGCACGCACAACCCAGGCCGCTCGCACTACGCGCCACGCACACAGCACACGGCAGCCAGCAGCCACGCACACGCACAGCACACGGGCACACGCACACGCACCCACGCAGTACCGGCCGCACTCCAAGGACCCACACACCGCACACGACGGGCCAAGGCAACGCACACCACACGGCACACATACACACCCACGCACGCAGCGCACCAGCACGCACCGCGACAGCACCGCACGCACCCACACCGACACACACAACAGCACAATAACACACACAGGACAACACGCGCACACTCCACAAGCCCCACACACACAGCGGGCACGGGACGGCGCTCGCAGGCACAGACTGCCACGAGAGAGAGAGGCGGGCGAGAGGAACGACGAGAGAGAGAGAGCGCCGCGGCGCGCTCGCGCAGAGAGAGGAAGGAGACGAGGAAGAGAGCGGCCGCGCAGCGGGGGCGGACCCCACACACGCACACACGCACACCGGGCGCACACGCACACACACCACACACGGCACCACGGCACAGACACACAGCACATGAGGACATGCCACAGCACTGACAAACACACGTAGCACACACAACCGCCACATCACACAAGCACCGCACACAACGCCACGCACCACGACAGCGCACACGCGCACGCGCACGCGCACGCGCACGCACACCCCCGGGCACACGCACACACGCACACGCACACGCACACGCACACGCACAGCACGATGGGCGCACACGCACACGCACACGCACACGCAACGACCCACACGGCACAACATACACCACCACGCACGCACGCACAGGCAACACACACATCGACACCGGCGCGCAAGCACACACACCCACACACACAGCACACAGACACACACGCACACACACACGCACACAGCAGCAGGGTCACACACACACGAGCACACACGCGCGCACGACCCACGATGTGACACTAACAGTGGTTAATTAAATCCAATCGCAGCCTGGCGAGGTTTCGCGGCTAGCTCGCAGTATAGTCACGATTCTCTCCGGCGGCGGGGCTGCGAGACCCGCACTCTCATGACGTCAATTGTCGTTCAGAGCGAAGACGATTCAACGACGACGTGTTAAAACGTGATTCACTGCCGTAACATGCTGCGTTGTAACTAGTGGTGAGTATGATATGAAAAGTTAGGGATGTGCCGGTAGGTTGCCGTATGTTGTGAAGCTCACAGCGTAAGAGGTTAGGGTTGGAGTTAGAGTTAGGAATTAGGATTAGGGTAAGACGTAAGGGTTAGATTAGGGTTAGGGTTAGAGTTAGGGTTAGGATTAGGGTAAGGGTTAGGGTTAAGGTTAGGATTAGGCTGTAAGGGTTCGGGTAAGATAAGGGTTATGAAGGTGTAGGTTACCCGGGCGCGGATCAGAGGTTTGGATGACCAGTTTCCATATGTTTTTTCTGGGCAGCTAGGGGTTCCCGGGGATTTTTAAAAACTAGGCTATGATTTTGGTGAATTCTGGTAAATTTGAGGCCGGACCGGTTTCTGGACAGCTGGTGGAAAACCGGCGCTAAATCGCGCACGCGCTGGGTTAGAGATTAGGGCTAGGGTTAGGATTAGGTTAGAGTTATGGGTTAGGTTAGGGTTAGGATTAGGGTTAGGGTTAGGGTTAGGGTTAGAGTTATGGCTAGAGTTATGAATATGGCTAATGGTTCGAGTATTGGTACGGGTAATGATAATAGGGCTATCGTGGTGTTGTGTTAGCGTTCGGTAGGGAAGGGTAGGCTAACGTATGCCTTTTACATCGTTATATACAGTATGGTAATGTATACCTACTATAGTATGAGCTTGTATACCCCCGCCATACTTACTATAGCGTCAGTACTATAGTACTAGTACTA